GGCACAGAAGGCTCCCTGGAGAGTCATCACGCTTGAACTAATTAGGCTTTAAATTGAACGGAGCGTTCCAAACTTGAGAAATACGACTGGAATACTTCGGAAGATGACACACATCTTGCTGTTGTCTGCCAGTCTTCTGAGTCAGCCTCCATTTTTGTCGCTGTGACTCAAGAGTTTGGGTGCTCTGAGGGAGCAGTGGACGGGGGTCAAAGGTCTGTCAGTTAAACCCACCATCAGCGTGCCCCAGTAACACAAGCCTGACCTCACTGTACAGGACAATTGGCCACCAAAAAAAGCAACAACTGGCCAACAAGTGAACTGTAACCATCTGTCATTCCTCCAATCCCATAAAAATGCGTTGAAGAAAAAAAACACGCAATGTGCAATGATGAGGTAAGTGTTTTTTTTTAGTTAGTAATGTACAAGATGTACAGAGCAAAACCACAGCAGTGACGGCACCTTTTTGCTGGGTGTGCAGTTACATTTCTACGGTGTGTGCAAAGGCCCTTTGAACAATGTGGTTTTGTGCGTGGTCTTGTGGTAACATGGTCTGAACCACCTTAAAAAAAAGCTTTTTAGCATTAGCGCTTGATAATAATATTCCAGGTTCCCTAAAGGCCATTATAAAACTCTAACTTGGATGTTGGCTGCTTTTTCCTCTCTTTTTCCAGAACTGATTTCAGGCCAGTTCTCGTGTCCTTTGGTGTGCCTCTTGGCCCTCTTTCTATTCCTTAATAATGGCGGAACCTCTTATGCGGGACCCATTGGATGGATCAACTACTGGCCTATGGAGTTTATTTCTATTTCTTTAAGACGTCATCATCAGATGCTGTTTATCTGAAGTCGTTTATTTTTATCTGAGTTGTTTGTACTTTTGTCCTCGCTTAGCCAACTCCCTAAGTTTATTTCTCAAGCCTATACTGAGTCCCATGCAGAGATATTCCAAGGTTTTCAGCTAATATCCTCAAGAAACATCCTATTAGTGGATAAGGTATTGACTGTACCTGTTAAAATCTGTTTTCTTATGGTTTCACCTTCTTTTTTAAAGCGGTACAGAGAGCCAAACGTAAATGGGAAGAGGTTATTTTTCTATGCAGCAGTCTGCTTGTAATAATGTATCAAAAAGAGGAATTTGAAATAGATTCTTTGATGTTCACAACAAGTTCATTCCTTGAATAAGATGCTAGATCTGGTGCAAATTAACAGGTACGGGCTTTGAGCTGAAAACAAGGGGGAAAAACGGCCTGTGTCCAAAAAATGTTTGGACAATGTTAAAAAAATACAACAAAGAAGGACTTCTGGACTGTATTAGATCATTACATTTGGAGCCTTAGTTTAGGGTTATGTTAAAGAAGATGAGGTTATAATGACAGTAAACCCACAGGATATGCATATAGGTCTAAGAAAATGATGAGAAAAGTAACTACTTTCTGCAGGTATTATCAGTATTGGTGCCACACCCTGTCTCATGATCCCACTTTTTGGAACTTCACAGGTGAATCTGCACTACTGAACTCTCCACGCAGGACTGGAGCAACAAGCACTTAGATTTAACAGTCAAAACTCAGCAGAACTTAATTGCACCCAGAGTAAACTTCAACGACAGAAAAACTGTCAAAATACATCTGGCAGTTTTTAAGTAAAAAAAAACTAAAGTTCATTCTTTGTACCAAAAAAACAGGGTTAAAATATGCTCTTTTTGTCATATTGGAACTTTATTGACTGAAGGACTTACCTAAATAGATTCCACTGAAAAGAAACGACTTAAAAAAAAACTTTTCTCACTTTGTCAAAACTTTCCTTACTTCATTTTCTTTCCTGTCCGCTACATTTTGTGTTTACCTGGTGGGTCGAAGCCGGCGCTGCCTCCGGGGGAAATGAATCCCTGAAGATCTCCAACGCCGTGCGCGGCCACAAAGAGCGCAGCGGGAAACAGGAGGAACAGGGGGCACAGGGGAAGCATTTCAGACGGTCGATAGCCCGAAACTGTGGTCCAAAAGTCGTTAAGACCCTCAAAAAAAGTCGGAGAAGTGCGTCGCATAAAGTGAGCCGGGCCCTGTGTGAGGGGCGCAGTATCGGTGCGCGAAAGCGATCCGTGTTGCTATTACGGGTGCAGCCCGAGGGGAGATGTGATACTGATGTTCACTTGAGAGATCGGGCGTGTGGGATCGTGCGTTTCCGACCACAGGATAAAGTTGCTGCAAAAAATACAGCATAAACAGGAGGGGAAAAAATCTGTGCGTAAAAATCGGCGATTCCGGAGAAACTGATGAAATCCACAAATCTGCCAGATAAAAATCAGACTACATAATCCGTCACATGTAGGTTAAATCAGTAAACATCCAGGGTTGTTATCACTTTTTTTTTTTATCAGGAGAAGGAACGGGAAAAACAGAGGGTGTGAGTGGAGAAAACCGGGATCTGTGCGCCTCATGTCCGGTCGGAGTTGGGCGTCTGTGTTTTATATGTCTCGGGGCACAAAGTTAAGCCGCGCGGCTGTTCTCTCCTCTGTCGCCCTTCTTTTTTTTCTTCTCTCCAAACGGAGACGTCACGATATGACGTTCCTTCGCGGAACTGACAGCCCCTGCCCTCCCTTTCCCAACTCCCCCAAAACGCGCATACGCACGCGTCAAAAAGTCATTTATGTCGGTTATGTGACTTTTGGAAGTTCCATTTAAAAACGTCTTAGTGTCTGTTTACCTTACTGATGCTTTGGCATCAGGGTCGATCGGAACATCTAAAGCGCAGCGGTGGAAAGCGTTCGAACATTATCACTCCGTGAATAGCCTGTCCTCGGTCCTATCACGGTCGGACTGTCTGCATCTGACAGTTGCGGCCTACATCCTTGTTCGCAGTGTTGGAAAGGCTTAGGCAGTGTTTACGCAGCTGCCTGCCAGGTCTCTGCTGACCGTTACGCGCTCCACGCTGGCGCATAAAAACGCTCACAAGACGCGCAAAAGGCTACGGGGCTCCAAGTGAATTAGAATTGGAGACGCCGGCGAGTTGCGTGGCTGCGCGTGCACGCCTCAGACTGTCACAGGGGGGGGTGTCCGGTTTCGTCCCACCGACCTGGCTGCCGGTGTGTAAAAATAGGCGGTCGGAGTTGACCTCTACCCCGCCGGGGACCCAGTTCTCCCCCCCATTCTGCCCCCTTCAGCTCAGTGTTTGAAATCTAACTCAATGAAGGAACACGACCATGGACCGCGAGCTTATTTTAATTCATGATGTTCTGCTGAGGAAGGGGGTTGGATTAACTAGTGGAAGAGCAATGCACCACTGTCAAGACACCGTCCACCCTTCTGGTGCTATATATGGAAAGAGCGCACACAAACAAAGTAGGGAACACGAGAGGAAAGACGCGGCCGGCCTGTAAACAGGCGCGTCACGTGGGCTGCCGGCACGATGACGTAGAGAGGTTGTTTTGGCAGACGGTTAACCTCATGGCAGCTCTCATTTAGGAGATGCTGACCAGATGACTGGAATGGAGAATGGGGTGTGAATGTGGGGTGGGGGGCTTATTAAACAAAAAAATGTCCCATGCCTCTGCTTCTATGAATAACAGGTGCGTACGGACAAAGAGGAGAAGGATCACCTGCCGTTTGGATGTCTGTTCTTATATATCCTTTTGTTATCTGCGGCCCCTGGCATCGTTCTCCCTTATCGGAGTTCTGCTCTGTCAGCTTCGCAGTAACGCTGACAGCTCTCCGCTTTGTGCTGCCACACTTTATGTTTGCAGTTTTGGGACAGACGTCTCAAACGACCGGCTTACTGGAGTGTTTTTTTCCCCCTACTTAGGAGTAAGATAAGCGGGACACGGTGGGTCCTGTGGGTTGGAGCAAAAAAATAAATAAATGTAAAAATTCTGTTGAGCTTGCTTAGTTCAGCTCAGGAGGTACCTCATGGTGCATGCTTTTAATCCTGGTGTGTGTGGTATTAGCGACTGTGGTATCAGCAGAATAAAGTTGAGAAATGCGTGGACGGCTGGGATTTCCCTTAGAATAACAAGAGGAAAACAGGATTAAGGCTCCTCCTTAAACACATCAAGGCAAACTCAAATGACAAATTAGGTGCTCATCATGTGGACTGTATATTACACATATATATAAAATAAACACAAACACGACAATCTCATCTTTGATGTCAGCAGATAAAAGCTGAACGGTGGCCCAAAAAAATAGAAAATTGAAGCCTTTAACTGCCCTTATTTTCTAAAGTGCCTCCTTTAAAACGAAGACTGATTGATTCCTGCTCACTGCTCTACAGCATGGTTATAGTTAGTTAATTACAGTAAAAGCGTGTTATAAAAAAATGGGGGGAGGGGGGTTAAAAAACCGTTAAAAAGTTGTATTCAGACTATTAGAGAAATACTAAAAGCCAGTGAGACAAATGAGAAATAGGACCAACGATGAGACCCACTGTTTGGTAACAAAAAGAAAATGCTATGCAGTATCATACAACAAATACGTCAAAAACATGTACCTTAGAATAAAGAGCTACAAATATATCAGGTCGATACAAATATTATATAAAATATATGAATAAAATAATATAACAACATTCCTTGGTCCATAAAAACTATGTTACTTTTTCGAATATTCCCTTGCTCAGAAGAGTTAAGTCGGTTAAAGGTGTGATCTTAGTGGTCAGAAAGCAGAGCGAAGACGGCTTTCGAACCCCGCGGCTGTATGATAAGAAAACAGATCCCTTACAGATCCCATTGGGAGGGTTATACACCTCATATACCCTGTTTTAGGTGAAGATCTTGGATATGGAAGTCCTCCGAGTGGGGCTGGTAAACATGTCCACAGCTCACCACTAGAGGGCGGTACAGTACAGAGACTGTGTCCTGGAACACAGGCTTTCCCCCATGATTTCACAGACGATCTAATCCGGATCTTCGGGGCTTCCCGCGGTTTTGCCCACAGGTCGGTGAGCCTCTTTGGATTAATTGGGGCGTTTTTCCGCCCGGTCGTTCGGAGGGCTGCGGAGCAGAGGGGTCGCTATGTCAGCGCCGACACCGGATCGCTGCCGCCGCCGAAGGCGCCGTGGCCGTCGGCGAGGCCGCCCAGCAGGGAGGAGGGCGAGGACGACGGGGACGAGGAGGCGGTGCTGTGGGAGCGCAGGATGGCGCCCGCCGCGCTGCAGTGAGGGCGGGGGCCCGGCTCGGGGGTGTAGGTGAAGGTGAGGGCGGTGGCGTAGATGATTCCGTCGTTCCGCACCAGCGTGACGGGGACCTGAACCGGCTGCCTCACCCAGCGCCAGCCTTCCCGGAAGGCCGAGATGTCCGGCACCACGCACAGGATGCTCTCCCCACACCTGAGGGAGCGAATGAGCATTGTTGAGTTTGAAGCACAGGAAAAAAACAAAAAAAACAAAACAAAAACTGGAATATAACTCACCTATACATGGTGTCTGCTTCCACATCTCCGAACCAGACTCTGAGGTTTGGGGTGAAGTTGTGTCCCGTCAGCTCCAACATGGCCACATCTCCTCCCCCGTTTAACTTCACACAGACAAACGAAATTTTGTTTTTTTTAAAGAAAAAAAAAAGATGGATCTGAGTTGGGATGGATGAGCGTATTCTGGACAGAACCTGCAGGCTTTCCACCACGGGGACGGGGGTGACCGGTGTGGGGACGGGGCCCATCCCCTCGAAAAAGGTGTACTCCGCCTTGTCGGTGCTGATGATGGTCCAGGAAGCCCCGTCGTTGATGATCTCCCTGTTGGTCTCTTTGGAGCACGGTGTTGCCTGGGAGTGGAAATAACTTTAGAAATGGTTTCCGGTGCTCGCCGGTAAATCTGGGGAGGCTTGTTAAACTCTCCTCGTCAGTATAAGTAACAACATAGCCTAATGTCATAGGCAATGTAAATGTAAACATGAATCAAAACAACAACAAAACATTAAACACATTTTGTTTCTTTTGGGAGTCCCAGAACTTCATAAAACTTATAAACAGAGAAAAGTTACAACAACAACCGGGAACGTTGTGCAGCAGAGGCGACGTTCCCATTTATTGCAACATTCTGAGCTTTACTGAACCACAACATACTATGCTAATCGGATTGCTGCAATAGATAGAATATGCTCATCTTTGATCTCTGATATGCTATGTGATATGCTACCACATTCCCACTGGACAAAAACCTGCCTTTGATCCAATGTGGAGGCTTTAAAGATGGTGGCCTTGACCCCCTCACCGAGAACTTTCTGGGGTAATCAGATAATTCATTTTTCCATTAGTTTCTGAAATGATATGGTATCTGTGACTTTGGAATCATTCTTATTTAAATTTGACAAAATCTGGCAATGAGGCACCTTCCCACAGAGTTTTGCAGATCATTACTAACAAACTCTGTAAAGGACAGCTTCAATTAATGGCATGAGAAAAGCTTCTTCTATAAAAGGCAGATTGTCATCACGCTATCGCTGCATATGTGAGGCTTTATTGGTAATCCAAAGGGGTGAAATCACCTCTGTTTATCTATTCCATGTAGAATAACAAATAACCGCTGTAGTACTAAAAGAGAAGCAGAAATAATATAAGATCATATAAAAACACATTGGTCTTATCACTGGGAAGTCAATTCCCCTCATAACACAACACACAGCTGCATTAACAAAGTTAACCCATTACCAAAGACCATAGTACCAGAGTACATTTGGAGTATTATCATAATGACTTCCTACAAAGTGTTTTAAATCTAGAAAAATTCCAATACCAACAAAAAGCTGAGAATGTGTGCTCACATCACAATTAATCACAATTCCTGTTTTTCAGCCTCAGTAGGTAAAAGGATGGGAGTAAAAATATATATTTCATGTTTTTTTGTCCGCATATGATTTTCCATTACATCAGAAATAGATTTTTAAATGATTATACGTGTCAGGCATACTGGTCTTTTTTCTTTTAGACGATGGGCTATATTCAGAACCCCTGGTTGTTACTGAGGGTAGAGGGGGGGACCTACTGCTGTGAATAGACACAGGATGGTGAGGGTGCAAGCCCACACAAGATATGAGGATTTAACTATGATGTCAAAAGTCAACCTGAATTTTTTAATTCAGTGTATGGAAGCTAAAACTGACACTGACGAGTGTTTTAAACTGAATTCAGAGGACCATCTTGATCCATTACAGGTCCAAAATGCATCAGGGACAATATTCTTTGCATACAACACAAAAGTGACACATTAATAATATATAATACTCTTCCGGGATGAGTAGAATAAAAAAGACATACACGCACAAAAAAAGGGGGAAACTTGCACACCTGAAACTGGATGATCCTCTCCTGCGACAGACAGAGGTACATCCTGTCCGTGTCTTTCAGGTAGAAGGCGCACTTGTGAAGCTGGGACACGGGGTCGTCCGCGTCCATTAAAGCTGCCTGCTTGTCCACTTTACGGATGACCTGAGGAGCGGAAGCGTGAAAACCAAAACACCTGAGTCAGCGCAAGGCAAAACGTCAGAGCGTGCGCTTCGGCTGGGGGCGGCCGGCGTACCAGTCTGGGCAGAGCCATGCCGGTGACCGAGCAGACCAGCTTCACCGTCTGGCCGTAGTGGATGTAGCCGTCTCTGACGGCAAACTCCTCCCCTTCGGACTCCTCGTCGTCCACTGAACAAAGAGATGACGCACAGTGACTAAGTGTTTTGTCATTAAATGGGGGATAAAAGCAGTTTGGGGGGTAAAATAAAAAGTATAAACGCCTAAGGTGTGACTCACAGAGGTGGATGAAGAAGGCGCCCCACTGTTGGGAGCTGGCATGAAAGTTCCCCCCCTCCACATGCAGGTACCTGGTGCTGACCGTTTGAGAGCGCAGGCGGTTGAACAGGGCCACCTTCGTCCCAGACGCTATGCACACTGAGGAGGCGTTAAAAGAAGAGCCAACAAACACAACTCCTCAGGTAACAAGCATTACAAGCCAAAGACAAAACCCATAATATCCACATTGTTTTTTATTGGACGCGGAGGGGACAACTCCCTCAACTCACAATCTGCGTTTTTCAGCGACTGCTTCTTCTTGGAGGGTTTGGAGATGACTTTGATCCTCTTGCTGAGGAAGACGCCGATGTTGGAGCTGTTTCCGTACAGCATCTTGACGGTCAGCATGAAGTGCTTCCTTTTGTCCGAGTCGCTGATGTAGAGCGTCTTCGCCGTGCAGAAGTGCTACCATGGAAAATTGGGGGGTGGTGGGGGGGCACAGAGAAAAAAAGATGAGAGAGTTCATTGAGAGTGTGCGCTTCTAATTTGGCCAAGTTTCATTTCCCTTTTAAATCTGACTGTTGGCAAACGAGCAAAGCTGCTGGGTGTTATGCTGAGCCGCCTCTATTTCTGCCTAGAAACAAAGGAAAACTAAAAATATAAATAATAAATATGTATGTGGTTTTCCACAATAGCTCTGGAGGTTTCTTGACAAATTTAAAAAGCTACTCTTTTGATGTTTTTCCCTTTTTCCACTTACTGGAGTGTTGATGATTCATTCCCACATCAGACCTGTTGCCTCTTATTTTCTGTCCACTTCCGTGTGTCATTTGTAACACCAGAGCCTTTTTTTCCTCCCTGCACCCCTTCCTCAAGAATAACTTCTTGACAGCCACCCTGCCATAGAGACATTTTCTGGTGGAGTTTTGGCAAAAAGCGGTTCGGTCCACTGAGGGATCGACTGCGTCTCTCAGGTGTATTTCAAAACTTTGATTAAATTTTTCCTACTTTTTAACAACACCACTTTCATATCCCGTTCTTAATCTGTAGACATGTCATTCTAGGCCTGCCACTTCTCCTTTTGCCCACCACTGGTCTGGCTTCCCCATATTTGTTTAGCACACACTGCATGCCATGCCAAGACGAGACAAAGATCCAGCTAAAGGACACCATGGAAACCTGTTAAACTGTCTCATTTGGCATGTTTTGTAGATTTACAGGAGAAAATGGAACAAAACCTGCTTCACGACAATTGTCCAAAAAGAAGCTTAATAAAATAGTTTCTTGTTTTAGAAGTCCGTTTTGGGCAACCCAAATTATTCATCCCCTGCCTTTTAGCAATGGCTCACAGGTTAGTGTTAAGTGGCTCAACTAATAAAAAAATAAAACAATAAAAAAACATCCTTCTTAAAGTAGTCTGGCAAAGTGGATTGAAAATGTGTGAAGAAGCAGACGATGGCCTTCAGAATGCCAGACAGGACTAATCCCCTGGACGAATTTAAAAGATTCCAAGAAAGTCTGGCTCTTTTGGGGAATCTAAGGAGTGGCTTGCCATTTAAGTCACAAATCCCCCACTCACCTTTCCTTCCAGGTGCAGCTGCTGCATCTCCTGCTCACTGTTGCCGATACCGATGAACGCGCAGGCCTGGGCTTCCTGCTCTGTGCAACCCTCCTTCTCCATTTTCTCTAACTTCTTCTGCCAGCCGGTGCCCATCAGGTACACACACGGCGGAGGACAGAAAAACCTATTCCACACAGGCCTACATTAGGCAAAGCACGCGTGCAAAGAAACAGCCCCCAAAACCTCTATTCTGAACAGAAAAGCTTTACATTTGGATATTTTTTTAAACAAAGAGAGAAAGAGTGCAGCTTCTAAGAGTCTCACACACACCTTTTTTCGTTGCCGTAAGACTTTTGCGCAACCTTGGCGTGCAGTATGAGCACGGTTTGATCGTCCTTTTCCTTCAAGTAAGTCCTCATAGCCTCCCTGAAATCAGAAGGAACATGTGTGAACACCTCTCAGCTGCAAAAGCTATCCCTGAATCTTAACCTCATTAAAGTGAAGAGAAAGCTGTTAACTCCCCGTGCCATGAAGGCGTGGGTGCCCGACTCTGGCCCCGGAGGGATGCCGTCCTGCGGGTTTTAGAATTTTTCCCTGCTTCGACAGCCTCCTATAATGGCACATCGACATTATAGCAGGGAAACTTCCAAAAACCTGCTGGACAGCACCCCTTAAGGACCGACTTTGGGGGCACCCCCACCCGGCACAAGAGGCTCAAATCCGGGCTCTTTCCCCACCTTGTTAAACGCTGAGGCTGAGGTCGCTCACCAAACTTCCTGCGAAACAAAAACAAACAGGTTGCAGGGTAATTACACGTGGTTTAAGAGCAGAATTAGAGTGGCAGGGATGAAAAACAAAAGAAGAGCCAGCCTTAAAGTGGCTGAGACAGGCCTGGTGAAATACATAATAGCAGTTTTACTTGGATCACATTGGTTTTCAAGGATTGCATGACAGCTGATATGTGTTTGTTATGAACAAAGAATACTGTATGTGCAAATCTGTTTAGTCTTTTTTCTTGAATATAGCTAAAATGTAAGGTATAATGTATTCCACACAGCTAATTAAATCTTAATAGCTTTAATAGGACATTTGCTGTCGACTTCAGTGTCTGAAGCTCCGTTATAAAGTTTTTTGTTTGTTTTTAAAGTTCATATAAACGGTCTCTTTTACATTTTTATGGCTGCAAATGTTCAGCCAAGCCGGTAAATGTATGCGAAAGACGGGAGCAGGCGATAAATGATAAGTCACATCCGACGATAAGCGAGTGCACCCGCAAGTTGTTCTGTCAAAGTCTGCGTCGTTTTTAAAACCATATCGCAATATCTTTCCACTCAACACCGAAACACAGAAGGTGAATGCAGTCCTAACATGTAGCAAGCCGAACTAGAGGGGAAAAACACGGTCGGTGACCAAAAAAAAAAAAAAAGTTTCGGACGTCTTTTGAAACTTGCCCGTCTCGAGACAGTTTTTCACAAATTGCTGAAAAAATTAGGCGACACTAGGAAGAATAGTTCTGCCTAACTGACCCCCGCATGGGACCGTAAAAGTGTGTACAGCGTGGGCTAAGGGACCAAGGAAGCAAGCGTGAGACCTAAAACATCTCCCGAAAACAATTCAACTCGCCTGTGTTACGACACGTGAGAGTCAAACATTTTCTAACGCCAAAATGCTTTAAATTTCAGCACTTACCCCGTAACAACGGGCGCCATCTTCCGAAAAACTGACCCCCTGACAAAAAAAAAGTCCCAATAATCGCGAGATCCCTCCCCCCCCAAAAAATCCCCACTAAAGCTAACCGCACAACAGAAGACCCAGACTGGAAGGAAAAGATGGGAGAGGGAGAGGAGGGCGGCGTGACGGGGCAAAGGGGTGAGAAGTTGGGGAGGGAGGTGCGACAGGCAGGGAGCACACGCCAAAACAACAGGCGTGGGAAAGTTGTAAAGTCACGCGAGATTGAAAAAACTCTCACAGTAGACATGAGTGATGAAGAGCAGATTATATCGCGAGATGAACAAACACCTTAACCGCTGTGGGGCTTTTTTTCCCCCTCGCAGGGCACGCACACTGTAACTTGATTCCCACGCCTTATTGAGCTTTAAAGGAGACTTCAACTGACATTAGAGAAAAGAGCTCGAGGCTTCGTTGTCGGCAGTGAAAATGAAAAACGGTGTACTAATCCTCCACATGCTTTTTCCCCGATAGAATAAATTCTTATGTCAAAAACCTCTGCTGTGTGTGAGAACAAATAATTAAACCTCAACACAGGCACAATAATTTGAGTAGTTTTTATTAAACAATCTTCTTTCAAATAATGAACATTTTAAAAGTATATATAAAAGTTCCAGAATGTAACTAATCAATTCAGACAGTACTAGAAAAGCAATTATACCAACATTTCTGACAGCATTTGGATAATTACAGATTTAATTTAACACATGGTTCTTAAAAAACGCACACACAAAAAACACAAAAATTAACTTTGTAACTGTTAATGATGAAAACTTGGCACATGAATACCCTTCGGTAGACTTGAGTTGTGATATAAGGTACAATCAAATATACACTGTTTTTCAAGACATCAAACATTAAACTGTCATATTTGGAACCAAACAGCAGAATACTTGTACAGCGCATTGGTCAAGACGGTTCAACATTTGACAAATTATAATGAAGCATATTTGATGGTTTTAAAGGAGGCTTATCAGTAAAAACCTATTTTAAAACCTGAAAAACAAACATGAGGGGGGAATGATTGTAAAGGGAAAAAAGGCCTGCTCCCGAGCAGTTACACCAAATAATAAAATCACAGCAAGGATAATCCCAAAAAGGACTCAACAATTTACTCAATAACCACCTTAATGTATCAGTTGCTACACATAGCAGATGAAATATGGTCAGCCTTCATGGTTAAATTGGTCAAATCTGCAAACCATACTTGAACAACTTCTTCCTGAGTCAGTAAAGATGCTTGGCAGAGCTCAGCTTGCTTCTTCATTACAGAAGATCTTTGGAAAAAGTGTTGTTTTCTTTTCTTTCAATTTTTCTGTTAACAAATAGAGCAAGATTAAAAAAGAACTCGTATATTGACATAAACATGATTTTCCTGTAGAGTTGATATTGAAGTAAATCAGTTCCCGTCTCAGGCTATCCAGATGTTTTCAGATTAAACCTCCAGGGTTCTGATCTGCGTTTGTTGTATGGGCATTGTTAATCTACAGGCTCCTTCTCTAAATCTTCCAGAAAATCCTCTTTCTGTAGAGTACGTAGGAGATGAAGACCCAACAGGAAGTGGCAACGAGGTTCTGGATGAGGTGCTCTGTGTGGGATTGGCTGTTAGCCATGCGCCAGCGGAAGGGAAAGTAGTCCTCAAACACCTCGTGTCCAACGTATACAAGGATGGAGTTCATACCTGAGAACAGGCATACACGTGAGAATGAAGCTCCCCAAACAGTTGGCCCTTCACCCTTCATTCCTTTAATACTAGAACTCTGCTCACCTGGGTAGTAGAACGGTGCCCCGGACCACCACTTCTTCACATCGACGGCGTAGTAAACCAGGACTAGCAGCACAAAGGCGAAACAAGCCAATGTGGTCACATAGGACAGTGACCTAGTGGTCAAATAAAGAAGCACAGTGGGTTTAAAAGCTGAGATTTGTCTGGTGAGTTGTCAGTTTTTAAAAAAAGATACGTTCCACAACTTGTCTCAACCGTGCTTCACAAAACGCTATGTAAACATAGCAGACTGACAAAGAGATGCACATAGTTGAGAGGTCAAATAATTGACGGAGCTTTTGGACAGAATTCCTTCGGAAATGACAGAATGTACAGAAGGTATTGCAGAAAAAAAAAAGACTAAATAAAAAATGTGATCTGAGAGGTTGATTAATGTATCCATATTTTTTTTAAGCAGTGTTGAAGTTTTCACTGAAATACTTATAATATCAATAAAAATATTTAATACATTTTCCTAAAACAAACAAAAAAATAAGGGAAAAAAGCTGATTTTAGTCTGTTTTCCAGAAAATTATACCAATCTGATGGCTCTAAATTTGAATGCTGATTCTGCTCCACTGGGGCATTTGTTCATATTAGGATATGTGTAACAAGTCAGAACTAAGGGGTCATTTTCCAGGTAGAGGTATCAGAATGGAATAGTGTCCGCTTTTGATTGCTTTCATTAACGTTGGAAATGCATGTTCCTTTTGCCGGACAGACTTTGAAAGCTTCTAGGGATCCCGCACACAGGGTTGGAAAATTATAATGGGACTTCGAGATGCTAAAAGCCACCCTTACCACAGGTTCTTGTTGACAGGAATAATTCCCTGGTCTGTGGAGCATTTGGTCAGAACTGCTGACAGGATTCCCTGTGTAATTCAAGAGGTGTTAAAATTCAGGTAGAGAGAGAGCAGACAATTTTGATTGAGACGTGGAACCTTTAATATATAATTTACAGAAAACTCAACAATAAAAAGTGTTCCACCACTACTGTACTAAAACACTATGCATGGCATCATATACAGAATGCATTCAGTTAATCACATTGACAGCTCCAATAAGTTGAACCATAACTTTGTACAGTCGAATTTTCACTTTCAATCCCAGAGAACCCTTCTCTTAGAACGATTAAACACTGATAACTGCTCATTGTGCTGTCAAATGTGAACTCCAAATCCTGTAGCGCTAAGAGATAAAAAAAATTAAAAAAGGGAAATGTGCTTACCAGAAAGAATCCCCATATGAGGAACCTTGACATGATACTTCTCGGGGTCTCTCTGTAGTGTAAAATTATCTTTCCTGCCTGAAGAGTTGAAATAAACAGTCAAATAATGACGAACGCGTGGTCAGCTGTAACATACAATACGAAGGAAAAAACATTGCAAACCTGCAATCCCAAAAAAGCCATGAGAACAGAGTTGATGCTGCCCAGAACGCCTTCAGGGTCATAAGGCATGTGAGTTGCATAAATGACCTGAATAGAAATGACAACAGAAATTAGTTTTGATTAAGTTTTCACGCTGTCTAATGTTTGATCACCAGTGATGTTAGCAAAAAACAAACGACAGGTACACACAAATAAAGGAAAAATTTGTTACAGTTGGGTGGCATCACTTGTTACGAACCCGTGAGGAAGGATTCTGGTAGATGTGGTTTTGTCCCAACAGCCAACGGTCAATGAGACCAGCTGCTCCTCCCGTGCAGTTAGCATAAAGGCCCATATCACCGATCCCACCGGGACCCAGATAGCCTCTGTAGAGTGGAATGAAACCAGTATTATTGATATGAGCCATACACAGACATACAGGAGAAAGAATGGAGATTTGGAATGAAATCTTTCCTCTCAAAATGTCATGCTCTGTATTTATTTACTTTCTAACTTTACAATAATTTAACTGTCTGAGTTCTAAAGTTACATTTATTTGAGAAATAAAGAGGGAAAATTACACAATCGATTACCCCAGATAGTATTGGATAATCTTTTAGATTATTTCTGGAACATGGCTGCCATCTTGAAAGCCGCCATATTGGATCAAAGGAAAGTTTTTTTTTCCAAATGTGAAGATGGTCATGTAGCATACCAAAGAAGACCAGAAATCCATTTCTGTAATCAGATTTGCAATATCTGCTGTGGTGTTGTGGCTCAAAAGTCATCAACACAAAAAGGTGTCCCAATAACCGGGAGCATGCCTGTGCTGCACAGCTCTTTGTCTCTGGTGCTGAACACATCAAACTGCTCCCTCACCCATTACTCTGGGGTATTTAAATGTGTCTTTTTTCCAGTATTTTCTTATTTTCTTTTTTAAATAAAACTGTGTCCTATCTGCATCCCCATTAGAGTTTTTCATCTCAACTGTTACTAAAAGCTAACACCAACACATTTCAAAAAGGTGTTTTTATTAAGACTTAAATTAACCAAAAGGAGAATTCCTGAGGAATTCAAAATGTATTTAATAGCAATCTCACAAGTCCACTCTACTTGAAATCATACATCTTTAGATCTTCCTTATCCTAACCTTGAGGTCAGCATTCATTACGATAAAAGGGTCACAGAACACTAACTGCTTTTAGTTAGTGTTGAATGTCTTTTACCTTTCATTTACATCACTATCGTGAAACATGAATGCCACCTCTTGTCTATGCATGAATGAATTAATGAATTTATGCATATTTTCTATTTATTGTAACAATTTCTCCAATCTCATTTGTCAGCAATAGTGTGCACTGTTCATTTTCTTCTGTGGGAAGAAAAAAAAGAAAATCACGAACATTTCTAAATATGCAAATAAAGTCCTGTGATTATCAAACATCAAGTAGATTATTTAACTATAATCTGGTTAAAACACTATTCGGTAGTACTGCAATACTACAACCACATGGTGGTGGCAATGTAATGAGCTGTTAGGGTTTCCAAATAAATATCTTAATATTTTCGTCATTGGTGCAATGAAACAACTACAACTGTACCAAAACACGAGACTGACATGCTTCGCCTCGCTGTGTGACTTACGTTGGGCAGCCTGGTACGGGAAGAAGGAAAGTGAGGCACAGCCAGGTGATTTCCAGAAGGAGCACACACAGCCAGGCTGGCCAGTACAGCAAGATGTCCCTAATGGGAGACCACCAAAAATCCTGGAAAAGACAAGCAATGCAAATTAAATGAAGCATTAAAAATGCATACTTACTTTTATTGTTTAAAAGAAGGTTAGAGAA